TGGTAAAATATCATAAGAATCCGTCAATAAACAAACATATTACGGACTCAGAGGCCTGCGATAGTTAAGAGATTGAATTTAGGGGCCCATCTGTAGGAAGCCTGGCTGGTCTGGTGGTAAAGTACTGGACTACGGATTGCAACTCCATCCCGAGGCGTGGGTTCTAATCCCGACTAGGACGGCGCGGATTTTAAAGTAAGTCACAACTCTACGATGATCCACCACCTGGTAGCAACGCATATGCACGTTCGGAAGAACATTAGTACCAAACATATCACCTAGAGAGCGCGCACTCTAGGATGCAATACTTGTGCAATATTTTTAAAATATTCTTACAATACTTTGAAAAAATTCAAGAAATATTTTGAAAATATTCAAAAAATATTTTTCAAATTAACTGAGGTTAACATGAGTAGATTTTAAAAATAATATAAAAAGTTTTTAAAAATATTTTGTGAAAATATTAATTTAATATTTTTAAAATTTCTTAAAAATATTTTTTGTCTAACTGGGTCTGTTTCGAATAATCAATCACGAATTGTTATGGCCTATAAACTGTGACCTCACAAGCAGATCACGTAAGTTAAAAGACGAAAGTAATTACTGAGTTGAAAGCTGAAGGGGTCACTAACACACTTCTGTTTTATGACCAAACAATGGGAAACGGATCATGCAAAACAATTTGGACCCTGTCCCTTTCGTACGAAGAAAAAACGCAGAAAAAGCGTTATTCCGTTTTCAAAATTCTTCTAATATAAAGTAAAAAATTTCTAAAAAAATCTGCAAGTAACATTAATTTTATTTTTCATCAAATGCTTCAAAGAATAAGATTAGAGAGTAATTCAGGGGAAACCCTAGAACTTAACCTACCGTTTAAACTAGCAAAATATCCTAAATTTATGTTTTCACGCAGTTCTCTCTTAGCCAAACAAATCAATCTCTAGATAAGTGAAACATCTTCAGATTTTATAATTGTGATCCTGGTTTCATGTTGCTTCGAAGCGTCAGTTGGAGGTTGGGAGAGGGAGGTTTGGGAGGTAGGGGATCATTCTTGGAAGACCTCTATTTTTTAGATGGCTAAAGTAAGACAATGATTCACTTCGATGCGATGGCAGAAAATTTCATCCATGTATTACAATTTTTTATGAAAAGCAACCATGGTTTATTAGAGGTTGGTAAGCAGGGTGCTCTGCTCGCAACGAACACCTTAAATTCGATTTTTTATCACATCCTCAAATTGGGAAACATCGATAGTTGATCGTTCACGCTCCGCCACAACCCTCCTCCCCTACACGGAGGAAAAAAAACTTCGTGCGTGGGACCCGAAGTTTAGGTCATATGGATCTCTGAAGTTTTCGGATTGAGCATCTGAACACTTTACATTTCACTTTAGATCTAGCTGTCAAGGTTCGGATCACACATCTGAAACTTCAGTTCTTACATCTGTAGTACTTCGGTTCTCACATCCGAATAACTTCGGTTCTCAAATCTGAAGTACTTCAGATGTAAGAATTGAAGTTTCAGATGTATGATCCGAACCTCAACAGCTAGATCTAAAGTGTTCAGATGCTCAATCTGAAAACTTCAGAGATCCATATGACCTAAACTTCGGGTCTCACGCACGAGGTTTTTTTCTCCGTGTAGGTATACACTCTTGTCCTCCGTTTGTAGCTCCCTCAAACGTAGTGTATTTCACTCCTACCCAGAGTCATTCACTCCGGCTGGTAGTTTTATGCATTAATCCTATCAATACCACCGCGTAAACGGTCCATTTGTGCCACTGTAATGAGAAGCGGCTTTAGCGGGAATCAGATAATTAGCCTATAACGTATCCGCGAATTTCCTCGCCGACTCCGCGAAATGTAAATAAGGCTCCCGACGCGGGAAAACAATGGCGCCAGAACGATTAACATCATCGCGGTCTTGGCGGCGCGGTAAAAAAGCTCAGGTCGGCAAGCGGAAACACAATAGGAAGCTGCGCTCATCTCCCTAATTTTTATTTTCGGCCGGACGAGACAATGGCGGCGCGAGAGAAAACATCACTCCGTTATTGATTTTCGCCGGCGATAAGGCTAACTGATTGTGTAATAAGTGCCCGCAATGAAGTCATAAACTGAGTCGTAAACGCCGCGTTTTGCTCCAGCCTTGATTCATACTTTCTTGCCGCGCGCGCGAAAGTTGTCGGCGATGCGTTCGGTTCGCTCGCCTGCAACCCGGCGCTGTTACCGAATTGTGGTGCAAAAATGCTGATTTTACCCTCGGTGTGCGTTGTAAGGCATGTTGATTTCTTCGCTCAACTGGCAATTTTATTGTTAAGCCGTCCGGCTGTCGCTGGTAGGGTTGTCATCCGTAACACTGACCACTGTCTTCTCTTCCTTTTTCTACGCCTTCTCCTCATTTATCTCCTTTTTTCCATGCATGGTGCCCGGGTATGACGCGAGAGGTTTTCCTAAGTTGTAAAATGTAACTGATACTTAAATGTGAAGTACAGAAATTGAGCCCATGCTAAAATCACAGTAATCATAATTTGAAAAGTTGCCGACCTCTCGTCACTTTCTTATCCCTGAGGGAAGAGCTTAAACATATTTATTTTTGGTATTTTCACTGATTTTTCCTCCCCCTGTGCAAAACATTTTGCAAGAATCTCGAGCACACATGGGAAAGTTCGATTTTCTTCAAAAAAAAAAAGGAAAAGAAAATGAAATAACAACAAAGATTTTGAAACGTTGTGTTTGATATTCGTGCTCTTCGATTTTTCTCATTGATGTGTACTGCAATCTTTCAAGAGAAAAATTTTGAAAATATAGTTTTGGTGTAATCGAAAAGGAAAGAATTTCGGGGGTAATGCGAGCCCAAGCAATTGTTATTGGACTTAAAATTATTTGGCTTTTTACGTCGTTAAAATAGTTTGCTTGAGATTCTGTTACAGAAGAAAACGTTTTAGAAGAGGAAATATATCAAGAACAATTCGAAATTTTTTGCCCAAGTATCTTATTTCTGGTCGTCTGAATATCTTGAGAAAATTATCGCACGGTTCTTTTGCTACTCATAAAATCTGTCATCACCTTGAAAACATCTAACTATCGGTATTTAAAAGAAGACACCATAAGTGACCGTGAAACTTTAATATATAAATCAGTCAGTTAAACCCTGAATTCCAATGAAAGATCCTTAAGTACGCTGCACTAATCGTCCCTCCATCGACGTAAGGGTGTATCTCAATTGCCGCGTGAGCCCTGTGATCTGTATGAGTCTATGCTTTCCGCGGCCCATGTGAAAATAGAGATATGCCATTACCTCAAGGAGCGAAGTAAAGTCCGAAGTTATAGCTTCAATTCATAGATTTCTCTCAACTGTGCGACGCGACGGCTGTCCGAGCCGTTTATTAAGAGGACATTATCGCATCAACCACTCGTCCTAGCAGTCGTTTTGTCATCAAGCTTGACTCTTTGAGCGGATTGCTTTTAAGACGCCCGGAAATCGACAGAACCAGTTTTGGCGGGAAACACAGCACGCTTCGGAAGCAACTATACCGCATTATTGACTTGAACAATTTAGTTCATATTAACCATTCTGCTTTTGCCGTGCAGACGAACCCCCGGGCAGGGCAGAGTGAATCCGCTGAAAAGAATAATACATCTTCAATTGCTGTGGAGATGACTGAAAATGCCCTGGGGAACGGTCGGTCACTAAGAGGAGAAAGCTATTTAGCGCGGGATGATCAACAAAAAAATAAGACTCAAGCTTTTATGCTTCCGATAAAGGAAATGCAGAGTGCGCTTTATCCTTTCCTCCACTCATTTTAAATTTACTTTTGCAAATCACCTATTCGAAGAAAATAAATCTTGTCGAGAAAGAGAAATCGCCGAGTTATAGTAGTTCAAAAGATTTTGGGGATTATTTCATGTGACAATGTTTAGCGTCATTTACCGCTGCTGATTGATACCCCCGTGGTCATTTTGAATGCATAACTAAAATGCAAACTGAGCGGTCATTTGCAAGATCATCGGCCTCGTTCTCAGCACGGAGTATTCATGCACTTCAGCGTAGGCACTGTTGCGTTCATTCGTATTGAAGGATTTTTATACGCCGTCTTCTTTCCGTGGATAGCATATACTATGTGTGATAGCGAAGGATTAATAAAGATACAGTAATGCTATAAACGGATATTCCATGGCTTAGCTGGCTTTAATTGTTGGTCATATCTTTTATTCTTCCTCTATTCAGATCATATCTTAAAAGATGTAAAATATTTAAAAACCGATCTTTTACAAATTTTCATCGTTGAAAATATTGTGAGAGCAGGTACAGCATTTCTCTCCAGATAAACTGGTAATTCACTGACTTGGACTTGATACCGTACACGATGTATATTCGTCGTTTATCTCACGAAAGAGCTTAACTACATTTCAATGTTGAAAATTTTAATTAAATTTTCCCCTCGCAAATTGCATTTTTGCCGGGAAAATATTGGGCATTTCTGACTGAGATTTTCACTGCTTTCACGTTCCATCGTCCGAGATACGACGATTCTTCAACCCCATCATTTCACGCTACTTATAATATCGAATTTACGCTCATTTCTTGAAATTACAGCGATCCTCCGCCATAAATCCATCTCAGCTCCAGCTATCTCGAGCATATCTTCACTTCTTTACAAATGCCAGTGTTTGCAGTTCTCATGTTTCACAAATACTCGTACATCGGACGAACTGGTTCTTCATAATAAATAAATAAATAAATAAATAAATAAATAAATAAATAAATAAATAAATAAATAAATAAATAAATAAATAAATAAATAAATAAATAAATAAATAAATAAATAAATAAATAAAACCGACCGTGAAATGACATTTTTTCAGTATTTTTTTTTAGTGGTTTTAACTATCCGACATTTTAGTTCCGCGACCGTCATATTTAGTGAGGTGATCGAGAGTCTACTGTATTCTACAATTCAGTGTTTTAGTGTTAAAATGCTCATTTTTTTTTTGTTCCAGCCAACCCCATACGGATTCGGCTACGGCGTTCAGGACCACCACAAAGGCCTGGACTTCAAGCAGCACGAGCACAGCGACGGGCACAAGGTGAACGGCGAGTACGCAGTCCTCCTCCCCGACGGCCGCTACCAGATCGTCAAGTACGAGGCCGACTGGAAGAACGGCTACCACGCCGACGTCAAGTACTACGGTGAGGCCAAATACCCCAGCCACTACAAGCACGAGGAATACGGCCACGATTACGGCCATGGGCTCGGTGAGGCCACCGGCTCCGCGTACAACAACTTAGGCCATGGACACGGGCACGGCCATGACGAACTCTCCGGCGCCGGAAGTGGGAAGCATTATGTCAAAACACCCCAGCCCCAGCACTAAGGACCCTTAAAAAGCCTGTCCTAAAGACCCGTATCTCTAATATCTGAATGGGTGGCAGCGGGCTGATAGTTGAAATTTATAGACAAAGCAATAGAGAAAGGAGATATAGGCAGTATGGAACGATTCTATTTGCTTAATTTGGGTGGTTGTTATAGACTAAGGGAGAAAATTATGGACTAACTGAAGGGTCCCGCGTGAGTTGCCGTTAGTTAGTCTATTGCCTACCTCCTTTGTCTATTGCTACCACCATATCATTTCTGTCTTCTTTGTCTATAGCTTTGTCTATCAATTTCAACAATCAGCCCGTAGGTGGCTGTAAGTGTCTGAGAGCTTGTCATTGAAGGATCCAGCAAATTGGAAACATTGTCTTTCCTCCATTTAAACCTATGGAAATGTATCGATTCTTGGAGGGGCCAGGTGCTCCGACAAGAATCGATTATTTAGCATAGGTTAAAATGGAGAAAATCTGGTGTCGCCAAATTGCTGAGAGGAAAGCTCTGAAGCTTGTTCGGCACCCCTGTCAGTAGTTCTGAACGTCTCCGGTTTTATTGAAAAACAATTTATGATATCTGGTGTTATCTTCAGCTCCTATGAATTTTTTCTCCTTTATGAAAAAGTATATCAAATAGGTCAACAGCGCTGTGGTCAAAATTCACTTATATCGTCGTCTCCGAACGAAGGAACGTAGCTCTACTCCAAGGTTGCAAAATTGACTCAAGCAATTCTATATTTTACAAAAATTTACCTGTGCAATTTTTGTCCAGAATTTCACAAGACAAGAGAAATAATCAGGGAAGTTTTTAGTCATAGGAATGCCCAAGTTTCTCCTTGTAAAAATACAATTAACGGAAGGAAATTTGGCAGCATTGGAATGTAGTACGTTCTTTCGTTAGGAAAACGATAACAACTTGTGTATTTCATCAAGTAAAGCTCTTTTCGTCCGAGTAAATGTAGGATAAATGTAGGCAAAAAAATATGTGATTTGAAATTCCCCTTTACCTTTAGCTGTTACTATGCTTCCTTTCTTCATTGATTTTGTGAAGAAATTAACCCGGTGCCTTAGACAAATTTGATGACATGATATTCGGGCTATAGTTGAAGCATGTAATAAATTCGGAAAAATTATGAATCATAGGTTCAGAAAATCGAATATTATTGGAGATACGGGTCTTAAAGGCCAAATTGTTTTCGTCCCCCTATTACCAAAGATGAATCAAATGTTTGAGTAAAATCATCTCAGGGTTTGTTATTGCCAGTGGCGTGTCGTGGTTTGCGATTAAACTGCCATTGATCTGCCATTTGAACCTATGGAAAAGAATCGATTACCAGGGCGTACCCTAATAATCAATTCTTTACCATAGCTTTAAATGGGAAAATGTCCATAGTCGATGATTAACGCCTCGCAACTGGTTTTACCTTCTGTTTTTCTTGTTAACTTTTGTTCAGCACAATGGTTTGCTGACAACACAAATATGAAATTTGATTAATTTGTGGCTCACTGTTTCACAACCAAACAATTGTATCAACAAATCAAGCCCCGGTGCAAAATTTTTCAGCTCAATATCAAGCACATTAAACGTTGGTGATATATTAAATCACCCCATCAATGGTATTGAGAAAGTTTCACATTTTAGGACCAGACCGATGATAATGCTCATTCTCCTTTTATTTTTATAGTGTTGTTATTTTGCATGTTCCTCGACTTATTGCATTTAATTTAAGTTTAAACTACGCGACAGCAAAAAGCATTAAATGTGATGTTTTGTATCTTCAAAGATACAAGTGTAAATCAGCTAGCGATATTGTTCTCGTTTTAGCTTAAAGAAAATTGCAAATGTGCGTCTGTGTAAATAGATTGTACTTTAATTATAGTTTGTACGTGATCGGATTATTTGTATAAAACTGTATGAGTGAAAACTCAAAACATAAAATATAAAAATTAAAAAAAATGACAATTTTTTTCTTTAATTTTTTAAATCTATAAAATTAAATCTTGAAAGAAAGATCGAATGAAAAGGAGAAACTTTTGTCTATTTCAAAAGGATCAATGGATGTTATGATGCATTAACAATTCTAGAGAGACAACATGCAAAACGCAAATACTCACTAATTCTGGCAAGAAATTGTTTTTTGAGGACAGGCGCGATCTTCTTTAAATTGGTTTCCCTTGCTAAAAATTGGATGTTTATGATACAAAACTGACGTGAATCTAAACAAGACACTTTTCTTCTGAATGAAATTATATCAGTTTTTATATGAGGACCTACTGCACCTGGCTGCTATAAAACCTTTATTCCTCACATGAAAGCTAAACATACTTTTTCATTGCATTGAGCTGTTTTTAAAATACGACTTTTTAAAAAGAAGAGGTGGCAAAAATAAACATTTTCAATGCAGCTGAACCTCTATCCGGCACGCAACATATGTCATATAGAACGATATCCAACGATTCTTTGAATTTTTACCTATTACTGCATAAGAGATTTTTTGTAATATGTTTCGCAAAATGAATTTATCGACAGCTAGATCATTTTTCTCGTTTTTACTTTGCCAGGGAAGAAAGTTGGTTATTGTGGGGGTCACAAGTCAGGTGATTGTTTAATCGATTCTCAGGAAACCGCTGATATCCGTTTTTTATTTTGAAATTTCGAGTAGACAGTCGATTTCCTTGTAAGCCATATTTAAACACGGGATGAAATAAAATTCAGAAGCTCACCTCTAAACCCAATCTCCAGACCTCCAGGAGTCTTTAAAACTCAATATTTCACACGATGAAAAAATGGGCATGTGCGGTTTTGGCACAAGGGATTCAATTATGTGCACATTTAAATGGACCTCCTTACACAAAAAGGAACCAAGCCACATTAGATAATGTCAAATTTTATTCGGGCACTTTAATTTTTTACATGAAAGCGGCTATGCGGATTTTTGTGAAAATTTCAGTGAATTTTTTGCCTAGTGAGAATCAAATTCCTTAAAAGTTTAAAAAAAATTCGCACAGACATTCTCCTTTAAAAAATTAAATTTCTCAGTTAAATAATTATTAATAGCTGATGTGGCTTCGTTCCTCTCTGCTTACGAATAATGAGCCGTGTGCAAATGAATTGAATACGCGCAAAATAAATTAATTTAAAAGGTACATTGTATAGCGCGTAAATCCGAAATACATAGTCATTTTAGCTTAAAATCACTTGCACATAGTTCTTTTCAGCATATATACGTCCAACTGATTAGCCAGCTGCTAACGATGCGAAGTAACCAACATGCCCTATGGACGGAGCTATGCCTGGAACGTAATGTGGAGTATGCGGTGAGTACATAAGATATGTATATTAATTGAACGGTACCAGTTCGTCGCCTACCTGACACAAGGGCGTAACTACATCCTGTGATGAGCCCTGTTCTAAATACAATTCAATGATTTTCCGGGCTCATCTTAATGTGTAGTTACGCCCTTACGTCAGGCAAGCGACGAGTTGTGCGGATTCCGCGCGGCCCGGCCGTTGTGATGTTGTGAAGACGCGCCGGCCGCTACTCCCGCGCCGAGGAGAAACGACGTATCTACATCGGCTTTCAATGTTAACTTACGCGGTTCTTTCTCGGGGAGGTCGAGTATATCAATGACCTGGATCAGCAGCGCGTTACGTCACGCGCAGAGTCCTGCGTCCTGCCTAAACTTCTTTGTTCATCAAAGCTCTGTTCACGAGTTCTGGAGTTCTGGACCCCCTTCCCCTCCCGCCCCCCACCCACGACCCTCCCGAGGTCCCAGACACCCATTTGCCGACTGTTCTTGCTCTGCTCTTGACTCCTTTGCCCCCTGCGGCTCAGTGGGGTCAACATGTACCGCGTGCGCGACCGTTCGCGGAAAGACGAACCCTGCGCGGGTTGATTATTGAAATCGATAGACGAAGCTATAGACAAGAAGACCAAGGGAAAACATAGCGATCCTTTTGATTGGTTTATCCCCAGCGGGCTGATTGTTGAAATTGATAGACAAAGCTATAGACAAAGAAGACGAGAGGAGTAAGGAGGGATCCTAGTAGTGGAAGAGAGTGGTTCCAATGGATAAAGGAGGTAGGTATAGACTACCTAACGGCAACCAACGAGTTACTACAGTTCGTCCATCATGTTGCCCCTTAGTCTACAGGAGCCACCCATTCCAAGCAATAGGATCGCTCCATACTCCCTTTGTCTTATTTTTCTTTAGCTTTGTCTACCCATTTCAATAATCAGCCCTTTGCGCAGGTTAATTATTGAAATTGATAGACAAAGCAATATAGGCAAAGAAGGCAAATGGAAAATGACGTGATCCTGTAGGCTGGTTTCCACCCTTGCTCAGCCGTTTGGGCGGTTGTTATATAGTAAGGGGGAGAATGATGCACTAACCATATAGAGTCATTAGGGTCGTTGCTAGTTAGTCTATCTATTAATTACCTCCTTCTCCATCGTAATCATCCGCTTCCACGTATGGAATCGTTCTAATTTCTCTTTGTCCACTATTTCTAAAGCGTTGGCTATATTGATTTCAATAATTATTAGTCTGCTGGAGAGCAATTGTATTGACAAGTTGGGAAGAAAATCGTAACTTGCGTTTTCAACGGAAAACGGTATTTTTTATCCCAACTAGTGAGAATCAAGAGTCTATTAATGTATACAATAAAGTAATTGAAATAATATGTAAAACACTCCTTCGGAGCAGTCAAACCTTGCATCATTTTACTCAGCTGAATCACTAAATACAAAAAGGGCACATGTCCGGAAAACCAAATTGTTCAGGAGACACAAAAAACTGTTTATTTCGTGGTAGATATTTTTTGGAAAGTCGTTATGTTTAAAAAATATCTACCACGAAATAAACAGTTTTTTGTGTCTCCTGAACGATTTTGTTTTCTGGACATGTGCCCTTCTTGTATTTAGTGATTCAGCTAAGAAAACGCTTATCATTACAGTCTCCGATTTTTCCGGATGGGCTGCTTTCCAATATTGGACGATTCCGTTAGAGACAAGGTGATTCCCTCCATGGTGGTCATGGTGATGGTGGTAGCTTTTAATTTCAGGACTTTGACATACATGCGTTGCCCTGATACTATAATTAGTTGCCTGTTGAGTGGCATGCCGAGTAATTTGTTCAGCGTACAGACCGAAATTTTCTAAACTTGTTCGGCGCACTGCGTCACCCGAGGCACATCAGTCAACTAGCGGGTAGGTCAGAAGTCAACGAAAAGGTGATGATTTTTGCCTTATATTTATCCAAGATCAGATTTTCAGTCCTTGAGAGTAAAAGTCTCTATCTGTCACCAAGGGGTTAGTGGCATTGGTCTCGAATTTTCCCTGCACTCAATTGACAGATATTTTCTCAGAGTAATTATTCTACACCGGAAGCTTCCGTTATTCCCTTCAAAGGTTACGTGTAAAGTGTTCGCAGTCCGCATGAAGTCAATATAATGTGTGCAGGATTAGCGCTCATGTTGTGAGTTTGTCTCTCTGAATCCTACTGTGCGTCGAGAAAGGGTATGGAATAATCTGCTTATTTCTGTAACGCTGGAGCACATTCGCACAGTTGCCAGTGGTTAGTTAGTTGACACATCATAATATCAACAGGACATGCTCCTATAGAGACTAGCTTCTATCGACAGTCGCAAAAATTTTGAAAAATCGGCTCGGTAGGTCTTTTGAACAAACTCTGACATAAAACGAACATTTACATTGTTTCAATGAAAAAACTTCACAAAAAACTTGCATGTTTTTAAAATCTGAACAGAGGGGGCTCAAGGGCTATATCATTTGTTGATAGCCTCCAAAAAAAATCGACCCGTATAGCAGTAGAGGAAACTGTGACAAAAAATGGTTATGTGTAGGAGACCAGAGAGCTTATAGTGACGAAGACTCCAGATATTTTCTCCAATTGAATGAATATAGGAAGTTTATAAAATATATTCCCATGGGCTTCAAAAGTCTGAGTCAATACGCTGCTTTTAAAAATGTAAGTGGTAATATAGGAGTACTAAACTAAAAATTGCACAGATTTTTTTCAATTACATTTTATCCCCCCATCTCAAAATCGCAAAAAGATGTCTCCTTCTCTCTTTCATCGGCTGTGAGCAACGATCAAATCTTCCAATACTTGCCGCTAGAATTTATTTGAAGGCAGAAAGACATCCTATTTCTCTTAAATCTTGCAACGTCGACTAGATTCTTCTCAACATGTATGCAAAGTGGAAGCCATATGTATCGACGCAGCAACACTGACGAAATGATTGACGAGAAGGCTGGGCTCCTTTTTGGGCATTTTCACATCTCAAATTAAGTTGGAATCTGCAAATTCAAAGTGACGTAATCGTGGATTCAGAGCCTTTGCTTCAAATGCAAATCATACATTTATACCGAGGTATACTGCCGTGCTAAGGGAAAACGCCGTATGAACATTCGAGAGTTGCCAAATTTCCTTCGATAAAATGTTTATTTTGGAGTAAAGATATGGATATTTTTCTTTGAAATTTTCGGGAACTTTAGGTGAAATTGGGAACAAAATTATTTGAAAAATTGGAAGGATAATATCTATAAGTTTACCAGGAAATTCGTGTTGTATCAAAGGAAATTTGGCAACGCCTGAAGGTTCATACGGCGTTCTTCCTTAGCAAGGCAGAATACTGGGTGTACTCTCAATATTAAGGGCCGATGCCAACTGTACGAAAGTAAGGACTAGAATGATAGGGCAAAATCACCGACCATCAAATGCTCTTAAGCGAAGCGTATGTGGTTCAGCATATCCTCTTTTGACTCCGCGCGAGGAATTTTTTGCAGTATTTGAAAGCAAAAATCACTCTGTAGCAGGTTTTCTCTTCTCCTTTTTCCACTGTTAACTGGACTACATTTTACAATTAGGAGCTATAAATTCTGGCCCAGTTTAAAAACAACGTATGTACCATTAGTTTTCCTATGCTCATAAGTG